AAACCCAAGGAAATGGTTTTTTTTCTTGTTGTTGTTGTTTTGGTACTGGGGATTGAACTCAGGACCTTGAGCTTGTGAGGCAAGCACATTGTCACTGAGCTAAATCTCCAGCCCCTGTACTTAAGTTTTAAACAGTGATATTGTCAATTCATCATTTATTATCTTTTTTTTTAATTGTTTGAGACAGGATCTCACTATGCAGTTCAAACTGGCTTTGAACTCACTAGGTAGCCCAGGCCAGCTTTGAACTCATGGTGATCCTCCTGCCTCAGCCTCCCGAGTGCTGGGATTACAGGTTTGCACCACCACATCCAGCTGTCTTTTTATTTTTTGCCTCATACCTGAATATAGATTTATTCTTTTTTTTTTCTTTTTTTGGTACTGGGGATCGAACTCAGGACCTTGTGTTTGCGAGGCAGGCAGCGGAACAACTGAGCTAAATCCACAGCCCAGAAAATGGATTTATTCTAGGAAGTCACAATTTACTTAACACTGGAAAATCTACTGTAATTTCCCCCAACAGATCAAAGAGGAAAATTATTTAATTATCTCAGTATATGTAGAAAAGAATTTGATAAAACCCAACATTAGCCAGGGATTGAGCTCAGTGGCACCATACCTGCCTGGTAAGCACAAGGTCCTGAGTTCCATCCTCAGTACCAAGAAAAAAACCAGCAAACAAAAACACATTAATTTATGATAAACTTTTTACTAACCAGCTGCAGAAAAGATCCTTAAAAAATTGGAAAAGGTGTCCAGAAAAACCCACTGCAAATACCTTGCTTTTGCTGAAAGTGTCTAATTTAAAAACCAAAATGAGACAAAGATGAACCTTCTCCAAGGTGCTTCTGTTTGTGTTCAGGCCAGAGGCTCTAGCAGCCTACTGAGAAAAGAAGTAGGAGGTGCACCATGCTGTGTAGCTGCAGCTCATCCAACACTGTCCCAAAGGGCTTCTGAATAAGCTAGGACTGTAGTTCTGTCTTCCTGCAGGGTCCCAGGACTGCCTCCAGAGCAACCTTCACCCTCTGTGTGCAAAAACCAGTGCACATTGAAGGTAGAGATGGTTCCTCATTCTGACAAATTTTCAAAGTACAACCTAGAAAAAATAACACTTCATGAATGTTTAAAGGAGTAATGTAGCTGTTTGGTGTGGCTTTTAAAACACAACTCACAAATGCTAAGACATTCTTTTTCTTCATCTTATCATCTCTGAAATTTAGCATTTTATTATCACTGGCCACATCTACTTAATTCACTGCATGATTTTTTTTCTTAATATAGCATGTAATAAACCATCAGAAATAGCAAAAATTCTGTATGTTTAGATGATATTTTTAGGTGATCATTTTAAAAGTGAAAATGAAAGTACTGGAGCTTCAGGCTAACTAGGTAACATAATGTATTATTGCACTAGGAAGACAGTGCAGTCCATTTATTCAGAAATTGTTCCTGAGGTCATGCATCAAGTTGGGGACTGGGGAGGCTTGGGGACCACAAAGAAGACCAGGAGAGAACATTTCCCTTTCTTAGTGTTAAAGTAAGTTGGATCGAATTTCAGTAATATAGAAAAGACATTATTCTTTAAATGCCTATTCTTTTATCTTTATAGTTTATTGGAAGGAAGTATGCCCAGAAGTGTTTCATTGTGTATAAAATCACATGTTGTGGCAGGGACAGTGAATACCACAGTACCACTGCCCAGGTTAAGAATCTAGTCAACTTTTCAAAAATCACTCTGACCTCTAGATCTTTAGGATGATCCAAGGTCTACTGGTCAGATTTTGTGAATCCCTTCCTCAAAAATACCATAAGCAGGACTGACTGGGCCCCTACCCTCTGAATGGTCCACACACACAACATCATGGCCTGGTGTTCACACCAGAAGAGGGGCCCAAAGCAGCTCCCAATAAACCCAGAAAAGACTATTCCAGGCGGCTGGTAGGGGGTCCATGGGCTGACCTTGTGCCAGAATGTTGCCCAGGCAAGCCAGCCCCATCCATCAAGTATGTGAGCCTGCCTCTGCCTCCCCACCCTCTTTGGATGTAACCCTGATATTAGGAGCTTTGGGGGCATTTTTTAGGGCTCAGGTCACTCCTTTAATGAGACATGAGATGCCACTGGTGGTGGTGGGGTTAATGGGGTCCTTCACAGTCTGGTTCTCTACACTTTGGCTCTGCCAGAGGTCACCCACAGTTCATACCATCTCACTACTTGCCCACTATTCATCCTTGGACCACACAGCCCTGCACCTACAAGGAACACGGTCTTCCCTAATGGCTGTCTTGGCCACCTTGTTAAGTGTTCCCACCCAGATCACAAACTCCCAAGGGCAGGGCAGTGGCTCCAAGTTCACCAGCAGAGGGAGGCCCAGCATGGGTAGCTGAAAGGGCACTAATGGAGGACCAGGAATCCGAGGCTCAGAGTATCCATCTATAAGATGAGGGGGGAGGCAGAGGCCCCCAGTTCCTCTGAAGGGTCACGATGGTGCATCCTTTCCTGGCTCTGGGCCGCCTCTGGCCTTCATAGACCTCTGACTTGGCAATCCACTGGCTAAATTCGTGAGGTAGCCAGCAGGGGCATACACCCTGAGACCCAGCCAGAGTTTATAGGGAACCAAGTCCTTTAAGAGGGCTGATGAAACAACCATCTCTTCAAAAAAGTCTTTCTTGAAAAATTCACCTCAGCTTTGTTCTGAAAGCAAACACTACTTGGACAGTAACAAGGGCTGTTGCCATGATGTGCAGGCACATGCTCATCCCACCCTCTAGGTCCCCTAGAGCTGGGCTCCCCCTGGAGGTCAGGGCACCAGGCTCAATGGGGATATCTGGGGAGAGGCTCCCTATATATTTTGGGTCAGAGAAAGTTACAGAGAGACAAATTAGCAATTTCCTCACTTAATTCAGCAGATTCTATGTCAGCCCTGAAGTGTCTGGGACTCTTCACTCTATGGCCCTGTAGGGTCATTTATATGTCTCAGCCAGCACTTACTGTATGGATAAAGACAAGCTACCAGGCAGCAAGGCTGCACATGCAGACTCCTGCTCCATTGGAAGGGCACTGAACACTCATACACTCGTTTTCCTCCTATAATGGTTGGTTCCAAAAATAAATGGGCCGAGGATGTAGCTTAGTTCATTTTACAGCACACACACACACACACACACACCACAAAACAAAACAAAAATGAACACCATGATTGAAACATAAAACTTGGTCCTGACTTACCCAGTGTCTCTCAGGAGCCTCAGATTTAAGAACAGAATCCAAGTATGCACAGGTCTTAAAAAGCAGCAGGTGTGCCTGGCAAATGAGGGTCATGGGAGGTGCGGGTTGCTGCTGAGGCTCCAGCCTCCCTCCATCCCAAGCTCCTCTTCGCTATAGTATTTACAGACCAAGAATGAGTCTGTCCACCTGAGAATCTGACATTGGGTTTTACAACTCAGGTTCCATCACTTTTTGGCCTTCTGGTTAAGATCAAATGTAACAACTCAGATTCCAACACACACTGGCAAGCATCTGAGAGGGATAGGTGCTTTCCCTTCCATCATTTCATTTTAAAAACCCAAGAGTTTCTGTTTTCCCAGTGACGCAGGGAGAATGTCTGATGGACATCAACAGGCAATTTGGTATAATGTTATGTACAATTGTGTGTCTGCTGTTGTTTTCTTATGGCATGGTCACACAGCAGCCTGTTGAGTATTGTGTAGCAGGGTCCTTCCCTCCTCCTGCAAGCCAGGAGGACCCAGCCCAGGGCCACCAAGGTTAGTCCTGGGTGAAGAGTGTGGAATTCCTCCTGGTCCTCTTGCCCACACAGCCAGCATCCTTCCTGGTCCAGTTCCTCCTCTCCAGCTGGAAGGCAGGACCTAGGAGGAGAGGAAGGGCTGTAGCTACTGTTACCCCGAGGGGAACTTGTATAAACTCACAGCACACTCTATCCTTAAGTCTCCAGATGGCTGCTGAAATAACAGGGAGAATGATACTTGTTTTTTTCTTTTGCATCTCAGGGACAGGCACCCTAAGTGTTCTCAGTCCTGCATGGAGGGTGAATGCCCCACAAGGGCAGCCCCTCAGCATAGATGAGATACAGCACAATATTTTCCTTCCTCAGGTAAAGCCAGTGGCGTCCCATTCGTAAAAGAGCTCAATCCAGTGAAAGCAGCAGCAGAAGGATAGCCAGCGTGTTCCTGGCCTCCCCGGCCGTGTTAGAGAGAAGCCTTAGGACTCATCCAAGACCACGGCCTCCTCCTGGGTGCTTAGCGCAGGGCAGCCGGGGCAATTTTTCTTATTCGGCCGCCAGAGGGCGCGAGCTCCAGGCTGATAGCCCACTCCCCCTGCCTCACGCCGCGGTCCTAAGGAGTGTCTCACAGGAGACTCTGTCCCTAAACCCCACAGAGCCCTCGTCCTCTGCCCCTCGCTGCCTCTCCCACACAGCCTTGGACTCCCAGAACAGTCTATACTTTTAAAAAATGAAAAAAGTTTCCATTCCGCCTGGAAGTAATAAATCTAGTCACGATGAAAATAATCAGTGTTTCTAGCCGTCTTGGCATCAAATTATTTTAATTGCTTGTCCTGGAATTCGTTTCTCTCTGCCGCTCAAAACCATCTCATAGAACCTTCTGCGTGCACATAGTCATCTGGAGGGAGCTCGGGCATCAGAGCCGCGGCACGTTCCCGGAGCAAACTTCAAAGTACTTTGTTGTTTGTTTTGTAAGAAGTAAATAGATCTGTTTTGGTTCTCTTCGAGGCCACTGTTATGAAGCTCTTTTCATTGCCTTTCAGAAAAAGTTTGGTACGAACATAATTTTAAGAAAATTTATCGCTTCTCGGCCTTTTGGCTAAGATCGAGTGAAGAAAAATTTAAAATCTAAGATAACTACCAATAGACTTCAAGAATTAAATATAACATCGCATTAGCAAATTTAAAAAGAAAATGAGAAAACCAAGCCAAACAAAAACCAAAAAGCGACATCGAAACGCTGCCAGGTACCAGGAGCAGCACCGCTGGGATGCACAAGACTGGTCTGCAGACCGGCTGAAGCGCAGGCCTGTGACCGCGCTGGCCGCGAGGGATTAACAGGACAAGGCCGCCCTCCCGCCTGAAAGACTGCCAAGCCGACTACAGACCCTCGGCCTAAGACAGGTAGTACAAACCACAGGCGGCGGCCGGGCCCGCGAGGAGCCGGGGCACTGGCGGCAGAGCGCTCACCGCAGCTCCGTGCAGCGGGGCACCCAGAGGGAAGGGCAGGGAGAAAGAGGGCAGCAGCGGCTTGGCTGCCAGCTTCAACTTCTCCAGCTCGGCCTCCTGCAGCCGCTTGGCCTTGGCTCGGCGGTTCTGAAACCAGATCTTGACTTGCGTCTCGGTGAGGCTCAAGCTGCTGGAGAACTCCGCACGCTCAGCGACAGACAAGTACTGCTTCTGGTGGAACTTGCGCTCTAGAGCCAGGAGCTGCGCCGTGGTGAAAGGCGTCCGCGGCTTGCGGTTGTTCTTGTGTTTTCGGAGGGTGCAGGGTGAAGGGCTGAGGGCACCTGAGAGAAAAGAGAAGCACAAAACGGGCGCTCAAAACCCGGCGTCCAATACTGCCGGGCCCCTGCAAAGGCCGGTTGTGGGTGGTAGTTCTCGCTCCGTGACTGGCGCTTGGAGCAATGACAACCCAAAGGCCACCAGGGTAAGCGAAGCAAGGACCTCGGAGGCGGTGGGGGAAGGGTGGGCCGTCATGGATCGGTCTGTCCTGGATCGGGCTCTGCTCCCTAAATCCGCTGCTCCGCACCCTGGGGTGCACAGGGACTCTACCCTCCTGAAAAAAGCCAGAAGCAAACGTCAACTATCTTGGGAACTCCGGGTGGGCGGGGGTGCTTTGGGAAGAGAGGGCAGGCGCAAACACACTTGGCTGAGTGGGACCTGGCTGCCTCTCAGACCTGGAAGCGCTGTGGGTTGGGTGGTGGTGGTGGTGTTTTTTCCCCCTTGCCTTTAGGCTGGCACCGTTACTGGCTGGATACTTCCTAAGTTACAGTCTTCTGATCCTGGGCAAGGCGGGCCCTTCTCAGAAGACAGGAATGCGAGGCTCGGCACTTACGTGGGGGACACGCGCGGGCAGCGGGATGAAACCAGGATCCAGGCTCCGTGTCACCCCGCGGCCTTTCCTCCTCGGGCTCTGCGGGCTCCGGGCCCTGCCCAGGCTCTGCCTCCAGCAGCGACTCAACGCTGAAGGGCAGCAGGGCAGACCCGGTGCCGTCCTCGCCACGCGCCCTGAGCCCAGTGGGGTTCATGGACAAAGGTGCCGGTGCCATGCGTAGGGAAGCAGGCGCGGCTGGCCCAGAGGGACGCTCTGGACATATGCGCAGAGCGCCAAACTTCTTTCTGCCCCGGGTCTGCGGCGCCCTCGCCCACTACATTCTATAAAAAGGTGGCTCCGCTTTCATGCGCCGCTCTCCAATCCTAGCGGCAAGTGCTGTGCGGGCCTGAGAGTCGGTTGGCTTCGCTGCCCTAGAAGGCGGGACGGACAGGGAAGGGCGGGGCTGCCTCCTGGGTGGGACCCCCAAGCACCGGCCCGGGCTGGCCTGGCCGTGCCCGTACCCGGCTCCCGCTCCCTCTGTGCTCTGCCGGAGCGTTGTTCACACTCCTACTCCAGGGAAGATCGAGAGGCGGCCGGTGATGTGTCGAGCTGTCCGAGCCTCCCAATGCTGAGGCACTCACGGCGGGCGCGGCGCATTGTAGAGCCCCCGTCGGGGCATCTGCTCTTGGTCTTGCGCGGATGCTGTGCCTTGGACTTCTCTGAGCAGTCTGCGGCTCGGCCCCGACACAGCCTGTGGAGTAGTCCTGTGCGGCTCTTGCGCAAGTCTTCCTACTGCACCCCAGCCCTTGAGCCCAGAACCCCGTTGCGTGCTTACTTCTGCCCTGACACTCTCCCTGCACCCTGAGGACAGAATGTGACAGACCCTGAGCCCGGATTGGGAACTCCGCCTCCGTTCTCCTGAAGTGGTTATCCGTGGCTCTGGGTAGCTCTTGGGTCTCTGGAGCGGCCGAGCGTCCTCCTGAGCAGTGGGCGCCCCCAGAGCTGCCCCTTCGTTCTAGGGCTGAACCCCACGAGTGTCCCGCAGGACTCGTCTCAGGTTCATGAACAGACAGAGGTGAGTCTCTCACTGACCCTGCGCGACAGGCTAAGAACACAGGCTTGGCCCTCGGACCGCTCGGAGCATGGACTGAGTTCACCATCAGATTCTGGCACTCCCACTACGCACTTGCCAGCCCAGTCCTCGGAGCCCACCCGCAAATTTCTCCCAGGACCGTATCAGCACCTGGGGCTCAGAAAGGGAGGAGCCAAGACCAGATAGAGTCTTGTGCTTTTGAGGATTCTTTTTCCAAAACCCTACGGGGTGCTGCAAAATGCAGTGCCTCTCGTTGCAGGGTCTTGGAATATATCACGGATTAGTTTGTTTTAGGGTCTTTGTGTCTGATTAATACCCTAGAAACAGCAATCTAGGTCGACATAGGTACTGGGATTTGACCCCAAGGCCTTCCTCAGCCCTTTTTTATTTTTTAATTTTGAGACAGAATCTTGCTAATTCGTTAAATTGCCCAGGCTGGGCTCAAACTGTCCATCCTCCTGCTTTGGCCTCCCAGAATGCTGGGATTACAGGCATGTGCTACAAAGACCAGTTGATGTATGTTTATTTTTGAAAAACCAAAGTTGCCCTAATGAAGTCCAATATTTGAGAATAGCTTAACTGTCCAGCTGAGGCAGAATTATTAAATTATAAAATTTTCCTTCATACAAATTTAGAAGCTGCTGAAAGGGGCTTTCAGACGGCTCCTGGCTTATTAGGCCTCCTGCGTGGTGGGGACCAGCTCTTCCTATATTCATAGACTGATGGCCCCTTTCTAACGTAGTAAAAATGCTCTGAGTGGATTGAAGATAACTGCATCATTAAAACACTTTCTTTGAAGGCCCCTCTCTGGTAGTTTATCTTCACCAGGCTACTCACAGGAGCATTCAAAGAATTTTTTTTGGGGGGGGGGACAAGGGATAGACCTCAGAACCTTTTACTTTTGAGGCAGGCATCAGAACCACTGAGCCAAATCCCTGGCCCTCAAAGAATTTTAATAAGGATGACAGCAGGTTGGCCTGGGCCTGCTCTGTGTCTGGATGGAATACCACAAAAGTAGCCTCTGGATGGAGGAAGCACAAGCCTGTGCTGTGACCTGGGTGGGAGGCATGGCCACCTGGGAAGGACAGGGTCAAGGGCCATCCCTCTTGGCAACCATGCCAGCTGCAGCAGCCTGGTCCCTGTCTGGCTCCACTTCTCCCAGAAGGCCAAGGGTGAGCAAAGGGGGACTGCACATCAGGATAGGCATGAAAACCCAGGCTGCAACATATCAGAGACAGGTCTCCCCAACAGGGTATCTCCAACCCCCACTGTGGCCTGGCTGGCCAAGGGCTTGAGATGTGGGCAAGGATAGCAGGGGGTTAGAAGGGACCCTTTTTGTCAACAGGTTGGTTTTGGGTGCAGAAACCTGAATTTACATGCAAAGAGAGTCTGGTCATTGTCTGTGGTCAATTGAAGGGGGTGGGGATGCCCAAGGGCACCAGGCCTCCCAACAAGGACAGAAGGCCAACATAGACTCTGGTAGCAAAGGGGCTCCCCATTCCAGCTGTCCAGCTGTGCTCCTGGAATGATATGGTAAAACTCTGAAGGTTCCAATTCAGCTCTCTTTTGCAGCCTGAGTGGTGCTGTTTCCTTCCTCTGTTTGGGACTCCTTTCATCCTGACTTCAGATAGAAGGACAAGTGCATGCAGAGTAGAGCTCAAAAGCGTTTTCAAGTGTCATGAAGAGAGGATTTCTGAGAGTGAATTCCACTGTAGGGTTTATATACCACATCTGCAACTTGGCGGGGCTAGAGAAGCAGCTCTCCCTCTTCTGGGCTTGGACAGGAGGATGGCTGGGTGCTGCATAGTCTAGTCCATGCTAAGAAATTCAGACCATTCCATGTGATGAAGATGACAGGTCTTGTAAGTCATCAAATTGTTCAGGTTGGGGTCAAACTTAAGATCTTGCCTTAGTCATCTAGAATGCTGATATTACAGGCTTATGCCATCACTGAGCCTGGCTTGTATCTGATCCTTTTTTTTTTCTTTCCTTAAAAAACAAATTCATGTATGTTTGGAATACATAATAAAAACATTTATTGTGGGGAATTACTACATATACATATTGCGTCTTGGTCCCTTTTACTTCCTCTTTCTTTTGGCTCTCCCATCCCTCTATCCACTTCTCATTTCCACAAAGCCTATCTCCCTGTTTCCTATAATCTGTCTTTTGTTTTGCTCCTAAATTATTTATACTTTGGGTTTTTCATGTAAGGGAAACTATATGGTATTTAATCTTCTGTGTCTGATTCATTTCAGTTAATATTATAGTCTCATGGTCCATCCATTTTCCTATAAATGACTCAAATTTATCCTTCTTTATGGCTGAGAAGTACTTCATTGTGTACATATACCATATTTTTCTTATCCATTCATCTGTTAATGGGAATGTAGGCTGCTTCCAAGATTTAACATGGATATGCATGTATCGCTATAATATGTCTTTAACTCTTTGGGCAAGATACCTAGAAAAGGTATAGCTGAGTCAAATGGAATCTCTCATTTTCTGAAGAGTCTCCATACTGATTTCCATAGTGGGACACTAGTTTACATGCCTACTAGCAATGTAGAAGGGTTCTTTTTTTCCTGAATGATAGCCATTCTTTCTGAAGTAAGATGAAATCTCAGTGTTGCTTTGATTTGCATTCCTCTAATAGCCAAATAGGCTGAGCACTTTTTCATATACCTATTGGCCATTTGTACTTCTACTTTTGAGAAGTGTTTATTCATTTCAATTGCCCATTTTTGATTAGGTCTTTAATTTTGGGGGCCTGAAATTTTTGAAAAATTTTTTTCTTTTTTTTTGGTACTGGGGATTGAACTCAGGACCTTGCACTTGCGAGGCAGGCTCAGGAACCACTGAGCTAAATCTCTGGCCCTGAAAATTTTAATATTAGTCCTCTGTCTGAGGAATATCTGGCACTTCCTATTCTGTAGGTTGTCTCTCTGTTCTATTAGTTATTACCTTTGCTGTGCAGAAGCTTTTAATTTGATATAGTCTCATTTGTTGATTGCTGATGTTATTTTGTGTGTCATTGGGGTTCTGTTCAGAAAGCCCTTGCCATGCCTATATTTTTAAGAGGTTTACCAATTTTTGTTTTGTTTTTTTTGGTGCCGGGGATGAGGTTTACCAATTTTTAATTCCAACAGATTCAGTTTCTCTGTGTGTGTGTGTATATATGTGTGCATATATATATATATATATCTTTATTACATTTTGATTTTAGTGCAGAATGAGAGATATAGCTCTAGATTCATTATTCCACACATGGATAACCAGTTCTCTCAGCACCATTTATTAAAGAGGCTATCTTTTCTCTAACGTAGTTAGTTTTGTAATATAAATTAAAATCTGCGATTGTGATGCCTCCCTTTTTCCTCTTGTTGCCCAGGATTGCTTTTGCTATTCTCAGTCTCTTCTGGTTTCATATAAATTTTACATTTTTTCTAGTTTTGTAAAGAATTATATTGATACTTTTTTGATATTGATATTTTAATTGGGATTACATTAACTCTATGTATCAGTTTTTGTAATATGGCCACATTTTTTCTTTGAGACAGAGTTTCACTATGTAGTTCAGGCTGAGCTTGAACTCAGTATGTAGCCCAGGCTGGGCTCAAACTCTCAGTGATCCTCCTGCCTCGGCTTCCTGAATGCTGGGATAATAGGTGTGTGCCACCATTCCTGGCTCATAATATGACCATTTTGACAATATGGTTTCTACCTATCTAGGAAAAGAGGATGTTTTTCCATTTTCTGATGTCCTCTTCGATCTCTTTTTCAGGGCACTATAATTTTGTTATAGAGGTCTTACACTTCCTTGGTTAGGTTAATTCCTAGATATTTAATTTTTTTTTTTGAAGCTACCACAAAGCTTTCCTGATTTCTTTCATGGTAAGTTCATTGTTGGTGTACAAGAACCTACAAAAATAAAACCAAGAAAAAATAAGCTATTCATATGTGGTAATTTCCTGTTGCTATTCAATTTTATGTATTGATTTTGTATCCTGCTACTTTGCTGAATTTGCTTGTTGGTTTTAGGAGGTTTTAATGGGTCTTTTGGGGTTTTCTATGTAAAAGATCATGCCATCTGCAAGTAAAGATAGTTTGACTTTTTCCTTTGCTATACAGGTCCCTTTTATTTTTTTCTCTTGCCCAATTGTTCTGCCTAAGTAGAAGTAGGCAGTACTACTAATACTATAT